GTGGCAGATTGTACTCCTCGGTCTTCTGTACAATCTGCCGCAGGGTATGTATGTGGTCTATGGTACTGAAGCCTTTTCGGAAACCGGCTTGTTCGGGAGGCTGGAAGTCGTCGAGTCTGCGTGCGAGACGATTCGTAATGACTAATTAATGAATATTATTTATATCTATTTAAATATAATATTGGGCACAGTAATTAATGTTCGTTCGTAAAGAACGCGATTAAGCGAATTCGCTCCCCACTGTACCGGTAAAACTGTTAATTACAATTATAAGTGCTGATTTACCACGTGCTAAGCACGTTGAAGCTGAAAATTGTGTAACTTGCATTTTAAGAAATAAATATATTTTGAGGACATCTGAAGTCGCGCGAACGCTTACTATAGGTCTAAAACCCACCCTTAAAACCAGTTCAAAACTCTTTTCAAATAAGAAAGGAGTCTTGTGCCCAGCTGTGAGACATATAGAGTAGGTTGTACTTTACTTACCTTTTCATCCATGCAAAATTTTCGAAAATAAAATAGTCATTACATACCAAATTGTTTTCTTGTAATAAATCTATTTTTAAAACGTTGCGCTACTGTAATGGCTGCAAAGCGAAAAGAAATAACCTATGTTTATGTGAAACAATTTCGAGGAATATATCGTTGCTGTTTATTGGTACAGAAATAAAATTTAAGATTGTACAAGTAGGAATGAACCTGAACAATTGTGAGACGGAGCAGGTGAGGCACAAGCAGTAATTATGTTGGTGGACATAACTTCATGGTACATTACACTAATGTGCGATTTCATTTCTTGTCGCATTCGCTAAATAATACAGATACCTACTTCTAATTGTTTTATTACCTTTGATATTATTATTACTTATAATATATAAAAATTTTAAAATAAATTTGCTAGTTGAAATTTTCAATTATCATTTTGTTCATTGATAAGGAGCGTACATTAACTACGTGGGGATGAAGTTTTTAGGAATGGAGGGCTTCGAGCCGAATCTCATCCAATCTCACGTGGAAGAGAAGGAGGGTCTCGACAAATATCACGTAATTTAATTCCGCAAGAAACAGCGTAAAATTTCGAAAAAACATTGATTAAATTAATTAAAAAATAACTAAATCCTATACAATAATATTTATTGTTTTTTAGTTATGCAAACTCCACAAATTGTATAAAAATAATTAAGCCATTTTTTTTTAAGTAAACCGAACGCATCAAGCCCAGATTAAAGCATTCTACTATAAAAATACGCATTTTGAATAATGTCACGTGAGATTTGGAGGTGGGGGGTGAGGAGATCGAGCCATATCTCACGAAGTCTCGCCAGGGTGAGTGGATGGGTAGACAAATCGCCAAAATCGCCTCATCATTAATGAACGCCCCCTAATAGACATTTTGCCAGTGTCGGGTATATGAAATCATCGTTTTTAATAATTCATTTCAAAACTTCTTCACAAAATGTTTATGCGTCCAATTGTGAAGTTTTTGAAAGTTTTGACGACAGTTTTGAGCCAGCAGATGTCGATGACGATAGTGTCTCAAGGCGCCCAAACAGACGCATTACCTTGAGGTTCACATCACCATCGGAGCACTTGCTTAATCGTTTCTAACAATAATAGTTCACATGCGCAGACATTTCGTTACCAATTATTGCAATCCCTTCTTCTTTAAACAATTATTTAAAAAAAATTATACAGCAGTAGCTGTCCACCGCCGTCAAGTTCATACCAAAACTCCTCACTATTATTTATTTTTCATTAATATGTGCACTAATTAAAATTTAATGTTTTTAATTTTTTCACCATAGAATATTGTTATCACTTAAAGATAATTGAATAATATTTATTAAGTTACTTTTTCATTTTATAAGAGAACGGTGACAAACGAGCACACAGTCCACCTATACCATAGCGTTTGCCACCTAAAACATCTACATCTATCTTCAATTATGAATCAAAATGCAAATGTTGTCACCCGTGAGGACTAAGATGGAATGCCTCGTTTCCAGTAAAAATGGTCTCCGGTTCTCTTTACTCACCATACGAAACACAGCAGCATTAAGCTGCTATTTTACGCTGGTATTTCTATGAGAGTGCTACAACTACACTACATTTTATTTACCTCTCCATATTATACTGTACATGTACGTGGTAGAACCACGCTGCACCTATATTAGTATTGCATTGTAGTATTGTAGCACGAATGGGTTGGCTCGACCGGGGCTTTTATTGGCTAGAGCGCGGACCTCGCTCTAACAGAATACCAGCATAAATTAGCGGCATAATGCTGCTGTGTTTCGTATGGTGAGTGTAGAGAACCGGAGACCCTTTTTACTGGAAACGAGGCATTCCATCTTAGTCTTCTGGAGTGACAACGCATCTGTATTTTGATTGTTTATCGGGGATTAATGTATATATCTATCAAACAGAAACAGAAACTTTTTTATTCAATGTAGATTATAACAATACTTATTGAAAGTCACTTTTTTAATTTACCACTGGTTCGCAAAAAAAACCTCTGTCCTGGGAAGAACCAGCAAGAAACCCAGCGGGACTATTTTTTCCAATAATAGCTTACAATCATGTTTACAATTAACAACACAAGACAAATTAGAAATAGCTTGGTAGCGATCACCCTTCCCAGGGGTTATTATCATCCATAAATTCCTTAATATTATAATAACCCTTTACATACAAACTTAGTTTAATAACATTTTTGAACTTTGTGTACGGGCCACAGTATCCACTTACCTATAGGCGGACTGTGTGTTCGTTTGTCAGTCTTAATCCATAAAATAAACCTGTGTTTTGAAAAACCGTACTGGAAAGAACCTACTAGAAGCTTTGAAAATTCTTAGTATTAACTAGTAAATTCTACATAACATGCTCCACGTGTTTACCATTTCATTTTCAGGAAGATTTTAAAGTAAGAAATAGTCCACCGCTCTGCGCTCTGTCCAAATGCGTGTTGGCGGATTTTTGACGATTTTTCCTTTATCGTTGAGCATGCAGAGCCAGCACTTGTATTACAGATAATAATTTTCCTTTTATTAATTTTTTTAAATATTTACTTAAAATATTTCGAAATAAATTTGCTAAACACGTTAATTGAAAGGCATATTTCACATTTCCACGAATTTTGTACTAGTTGTTTGTACTTATTTTCTGCCCAGGGAAGAGTCCGTCTGGGTACTCTTAGCTATTTCCGCAGCCAAACAGCAGTGCGAGCACTGCTGCGTTCCGTTGTGAAGCGATAGAGTCGTTATAATTACACGTTAAAAGGCTTTACATCTTATGGACGCCACACACGGTCAGTTTAACTGATCATTCCAACTGATCAGTTCAAAATAAAACTGTTGACATTTTTTTAATTATTGAATTTTCGATTTATTGATAATTATAAATATATCAATATCGGAGTTCTATATATAAGTTTATTTATCGGTATATCGAAAATCCAATATTAAAAAAAATGTCAACAGTTTTATTTTGAACTGATCAATTGAACTGACCGTGTGTGGCCACGATTAGTCTTTCGAATGGACAACGCATCTGTAACCGTCTTTATTTGAAGTTGTTTTTAAGCACATGAGATGCAGTGGCCACTTACACTCATGTGAACTTCGTTTGTCACTTCAACTCTATAATTTTTTTTAATATTTAAACGTTGCCATATAAATTCATTACAAATTTTGTGAGGTCTTATAACTGCCATTATGTAGGTACTTCATATCTCATTTTATTAAGTATATACGTATAAACATTTTAATTTCAAGTTTCTATCCTGTTAGTCTAGCGACCAATTAAAACAATAGGTCCTTATACTATGAAAATAAACAAATTTCAAAACCTGTTCATCATGAGCGAGACTTCATATTTTTCTCATAGCCCATTGAAGTTTCGCATCAAAATTATTTCCAGTTATACAGTGGAATCTACAAGAGCCAATTTCTCCACATTTAAAAATCACATGTCAATACTAATTTTTATATAACATTACTAGCGATGCTTTAACACCCTATTTCAGCCCGTCTGGGGTTTGAAATCTACGAAATCCTTTCTTAGTGGGTGTCCACATCGAGAAAAGAGTGTATAGGTAAAATTTTAAGTTATTCGAGCATATTGTTTTAGAAATTTCGTGATGAATGAATCACGGGTATTTCGCTCATATACAGTGCAACCTATATATGTACTAGCTGATTAGCCGCTCGCTTTGCTATGGCGCACGATAATATTTTATTGCGGTACCTAGATGTAAAATACCAAAAGAATTTTTGAACATTGCGAAATGAGTAACTATACTAAATTTCAAAGTCATTCGGATGTATAGTCTTAGAGACCTCGTGATGAGTCAGGAAATCAGTGACATTTAGCTTATATTAGTCCTTAATAGTTGCTGGGGTAGCTGGACATGGCTTCCCATTCTAGGAAGGACTAAATTATTTATTAGTCATTGCTGTAATGTAATTTCTGTTGCGGTATATTAGATTTCTTACAAATAAGAAACTACAAATATATCATAGTGTTTCATTGTACAAAAAGTAACGGCAACGAACATTGTAGCATTTAAACTTAAGACAACAGAACCATTATTTCATTTGTGGCCATTTTTTATTTAATTTATTAATGTATTCTTCAATTTTTGTAGATTTTCCAATCTAAATTGTAGAAAGAATAAAGTCGATATTTGTTATATTTTTAACCGACTGTCCCAAAAACGAGATTTCCATTTCCGAACTTATTTTTATGTATCTTTGAGTGTTCGCTTATAACTTATTGTATCCTCAATAGCTTGAAAAAATTTGAAGGGTAATGTGTTGTTAGACTAATCTTCACATTCCGAGTATTTTAGATTAGGTTTTATGGAAATTAATACCAATATGGCGCTCGCAAAACGTAATATATAGCGCTTGCTTGAAGTGTACAAGTACTCTGACAACATGTCTTACTGCAGTCCGGTACTTTTATTTTAATAATAATGTACATATTACCTTCTCACATAGATTCATATATCGGCATGGACCAGCAACAGGACATGAAGCTGGACGTGAAAGAAGCAGCCGCGGTCCCGGCTGACCACCCGCAGTGGGAGCTCAGCGACTCCGATACTGATAACAATGATCAGGTTTGCATTTATCATAACATCTTGTATTCATATTAACCTAACGAACTTATCAGATAAGTTAATTGTCTTTTTGTCTGTTTCCTTTTTTTTACACTGACTTGTTTACTTTATAGTTTTACAATATTAAACAAAAGTAAAGTGAAGTTACAGCCTATATACGTCCCACTGCTGGGCACGGGCCTCCTCTCATTTCTGAGAGGGTTTTAGGGAAGGAAGTGTCCGCCACGCTGCACCAATACGTTTTTTTCTTATTCCTCAGACATGCAGGTTTTCTCACGATGTCTTCCTTTACCGCAGATCACGTGGTAAATCAGCACTTAAAATTGCAATTAACAATTTCATTGATGCCGGCGGGGGTCGAACCCGGGTTACTCGCGTTCTGTTATATTTACAGCGAGCATTAACCATCTGAGCTACCACGGCTCTCATTAAATCATATTAAAAACTAATATTAAACAAACGTTTATGTAATTCGTAGAACCATTTATGTCAATTAATTTTGACGCAGCCACGGTTTTTATTTACAATCTACGACAGTCGTGTCTGTAATCATAATTTAGTTGTTGCTATTGTGAATAAATTCTTGTAATATTTTATTTATATTTAACATAAATTCCCGAATTGCGGCGTTCCATTTTTTCATAGTATGCCTGGTAAAAATGTAAACGAACAAGATATTGCAGCAAAATGGTGTTAGATAAACAAGATTATTGTATCCTGGTTTCGAATTTACCAATTTTATCGGTCATGTAAAGGAAGCGATAGCTGATGTTTTCTTTTTCTATACATATTTTCTGATTATTTTATACTTGTTATAATTTGTATAGCTATTATATAAATCTCAAAGTCATGAAGTCTTTTCATTAATTTAAATGAAATAAATTCTAAAAAGCTCTCTGGTCGATTTTGGCTACGATGACATTCAGTTAAAAATAAAAGGTGCGAACTGTGCAGTTTAGTATTCATATTTTATTGCCGACATTCGCGATAGAGAGAAGTTTTTACGGTCCCCGTGTTCGATAATTCGATATAACGCTGTGCGATAAGATTGAAGGAACAAGCGAATGGTCGCACAAAATCAATAATTTATGTGACGCCAAATATTGAACCAACATTTCATCATCATCATCACAGTATTAACGTAATGGTAGCCTTTCTTTACCAACGTATGTCAATTGTGAGAGCTGTATGGCCGGCCCATTGCTAGTACAGCAATAATTGACCCTGACCCTGACCAATTGAGGTTTTTCGTCGAGATATTATGTTCCAGCTATAGTAAGGCTACATTACGAATGGATCGGTTCCACTGGGGCTCGGCGACAGTCTACAGTCACACGATACGGTTTCCATGTTCTGCGATGTTAGTGCTGATGACCTTTCAGCTTTTACATCTTCATCTGATAAAATACTCGATTAAAATAGATGAAAAACTTTCTTATACCTTTTTTATAGTGAGTGCAGAGAATTGGAGACCATTTTACGGGTAAAGAAGTATTCTACTTTAGCTATCAGGGGTGATAACCATTTGCATATTGATCCATTTATTTGTCGATGATGAATGTAAGGTATGATGATGTAGTTGTCTCTGGATGACAGCATCTACTTTACCTTGTTCACTTTGGCTTGTATATAAATCGTTGCCCATCCGCCTGATGGTGCTCGTAAATGGCAATTGTGGTACACCATACTGGCTCTCGGCCCGTCAGATCGGAAAATGCCGTGTATGTTTACTGTACAAATGGATTTCCTAGAAGAAAGGAGTTCTATCACCTAGATCCTAGAGCTTAACTTCCTTTTTGTAGGATTGTCCGAATGCTTTTCATTTTTTTGGACCTTCGTTTACGAGATACGATTGCGGTTATTCCTAATGCAGTAGTTATAAGATGTGTTATATATGAGTAACTATTTCTCTTGAAACAATAACCTAAATATTTGTGATTTACACTGTTGATATACTTGTTATAGGAACGGAAAGGGTCGACATGTTAATGTCGACATCAGTAGTATGATATTTTACATAAACACATAATAATAGAGCATTCCTTCAACAGGGCGACAACGAGAGCGAGTTCACGACAGACGACGACGTGGAAGACGAGTGATAGGAGATTAAGTTATTTTTATAGAGTTTATAATGTGCTGTACACGAGTTTGTTGTTGTATGGTTTGAGAGCGAATGAATATAGTATCTTTTATATACCAACATTTTGTTTCATTGCTTTGCCTTGCCAAGATAATTTGTTTATTTCTTGTTTTTAGACTATTGCTAATAAATTTTCACTGTTTGACTGAACTTTCGAGTATGTAGAACATGTTTAGGATTTCAATTAATTTGTTTTAGGGATGTTAATATTTTAATTTCCTAAATATCTAAGATCTAGTTTACTTAATTTGTTACAAAAATTCGCAAGTAAAAATATAATTGTGTGTTAACAAGTTTGAAGAGCAGTAAGTAGCCTTCCTCCAACTAATTTTGTTTCACCACCGCCATCAATACAATCGACTAGGAAATATCACAGACGTCGGTAACATGTCAAGTGGTTCACTCCACGAGGTTTAATTCTATGCAAAGTAAAGGTTATCAAGATGAAGCTTCTAATATCAACGATCTTCAATTTAGTTATTCATGTGAGAGAATCGAAAAATGAACATTTATGGATCACACACCACATTTTTTTTATTTCCTTTGACTTCCTCTGTTCTTCCAGTAACCTTGGTTAGACATGTTTCTGCAGTAAAAAAAAATATGTTTGTGATGAATCACAAATTGAGCATCATATTTATATATTTCACTCTTATTGAAAGTTCAGTAAATGTACTTCATTAGAAGTAGCAACATTAAAAAAAATATTTACCGCCTATATACGTCCACCTGCTGCGTTCTCCTCTCATTTCTTTAACGGGTTGCCTTTAACAATAGAATAAAATCATTTTTATTCAATATAGATTACAATACTGCATTGGACTTCGGAACGTTTCGACAAAAGAGACCGAGAGGCAGGTCTAAAAAGCGTTGGAGTGACTGTGAAGAAGATCTCAGGAAGATGGGAAAGTTTACCAGCTAGAAGAAGGTCGCCAGGTACCGTGGCAAACTGGAGGAATAGAGGCCAAGACCCACAAAGGGTTATAGCGCCAACGGAAGAAGATGGATGGATATTGATGGATGGATTTATAGCAAATATTAACGTGCAGATAGATGCAGATGCAGATGTAAAAATTTCCTATTGTAATTTAATAAGTCTAAAAATAATCTTTGTGGTATTATCATTTTATGGCAAAACATCCTTTCTGTGCTCTTTTTATGTTCTTTGTAAATTTGTTTGTGGTGTACATTAAAGTATATTCATTCATTCATTCATCCTTTTGGGTAAAGAAGTGAGGGTGCTCAACACAGTGTATCGCAAGCGCATACGTTGTGTCGGGATGAATTTGCGCAAGCACTGGCTTGTTCAAGACCAAGGTTTCGTTAATTCGTGATCCGTACAGAACCACACAAAGGGATGTCGGAGGGTATCGTCCTCGGGAGGCTGCGACTGCGAGCCCTGCTGCCTGCCGCGAGACACGGGGAGGAGAGGGTCTGGGAGTAAGCGGGGGTGGGCGGTGCCAGGGAGGGGCGGGGGAGGTCGCGGAGCACTGCCAGCCGCCAGACCTCACTCGCGCGTCGCGCCTCGCAATAACACCACGATCGAACGACCGACGCCCGCGCACGGTGTCGTATTACCGCTCTAAATATATCCCGCGAGCGCGATTGCCTATTTGGATACGCTCGCGCAGCGTGTTTTGAACCTGTGATTGACAGTGCTGAGTGAAGACACATAATCACTAGCCCATCATCCAATGTGAGTATCTTTACGACCCCAAGATGTTTGCGGATTTATTTTTATAGTATTACCACATCGCAGTTTTAAAATTAAAACAGCTGTTTCGCGGAATCGTCACGTCTGGTAACGTGCTAAATTGGGAATGGGATTTCCAATGAGGTTTTAAGTAATACGAGTTTCGTATTACGAGATGCTGCCCTATGAGAGTTTGTTATTTTTTTTAAAACGTAACGATTCATATTATTATCTTTATATCTGAATAAAAATCTTATTTTTTAGTGATAAAAATCGATTCTGTAATGTTTTTTGATTAAGTATTCAGTTTATACAACAAAGTTATGATATAAACATTGGTAGTGGGTACATTTTTTGTGAATAACTTATTTAAATATAATGGGTAGAGTTTTAATAAAAAGAAGTACCTAATATCAGCTCATAGAAAAATTGCGCAAGCCGTATTAAAGGTACATTTTGATATGCAACGAATCGGCAAGATTTTCAGTTTTTCGGATATACGTCCGTACTATGTATATACTTATCGAAAAAATATATTTAGTTTTCGACAAAACTTTAAGGATAGTTTCTATTATTGATGCGGGAGGATTGAATGGAAATATTTGAGGAAAAAAATTAATATCCCAGCTCAAGAAAGCCATGTTGTCTTCGGAAATAAGTATTTTTGAAAATTATATTAAATATTTTTATTTGAACATTCTTGATGCTTAACTCATTTTTGATAACATTAACCTTTTAAAACAAGCTCGAGGTAATATGTTGGTTCAGATTGACACTATAACAGAATCAATACGTTTCAAGAATAAATAAATAATCAAATGTTTTAGGTTCCATTCCTTTAAATAAATCAAAAACCATTCATTCTTGGTCACAGTTTTTTTTATATTAAAAAAACACCTGTTTTTAGGATTTTCATAGTATGTGTACATCAATAAGTTATAGTTGTAATAATGATTTTATAAATAGAATAACTGATTCCATAGAAATGAGTTTGAATGTTAACCAAACGTAAGATTATCTATCCATCCAAGAAAAAGAAAACATCCAATGAAAGGTGTAATGTGCTTCCCAAAGTATTTCAATAAAGGACACAACTGAAGTGGTGACTAAGCCATACCGGGTAAAGAAAACGACTGTTAAAATTGATCGCATTTTGGTAAATTAGGTCTCGGCAAAAAAAACTAAAACGTAGCTAGCCTGCACTATGTTACAGTGTTGGTGATACCCCAGCATTGGCCATAAGCTGGCGCGCGATGAATCGTACCGCGGACTGATAGTGGGCCGGTTAAACGAGTCCCAAGTCCGAGTGCAACGGCCCAAACTAAAGGGAATTTTAAAACGTTAATACTTGCAAGCCCTTTGATCTCACGGCATGTAATATAACTTGGAGACGCGTTAAATAAGGTAGAACACACAGTTTTCATTTACAACAGTTAGTAAGTGTATATACCAAACATCGGACATTGTTAAACGATGGCTCATTCCTTTACAAAACCTTCTACCTGAAACCTTGTCCATAATTAATCAGTGTAAGAACAAAGAATAAGGAAAAAGCGTATGCAAATTTTTTCAACGGATCCTTCACTTAAATAAATACTGCAATAAGTAAATACATTGCTTACGTTTAATACCTATGCCTTTTGTTACCCGTCTATTATAAAGTATTAAATACCTAAGTTTGTACAAATGTTGCTCTACGGTTAGTGCACAGTAACAGACCACAAAAAATCAACTTTACCTGAATTTGTAAAATATCATTTAGTTTTTTTTTCGATATAAGAAATAATAACCTCATTTAATTACTTATAAATAATAAACATACTCATTAATAAAATAGAAAAAACAATAAGATGCGCAACTTTCCTGCATAGCTAGTTTTACGCATTGAAGTATTATATAATATACTAAACTACAATGGTTTTTCGCATAATTTACGCTAATGACCTTCACATTATTTAAATCCCTTTTTAAGGAATTAGGTACGCTTAATTTTAAAATGATTATCATTGTAGTTTCAGGCGTTTGCAGTTTCAATTGCAAATAAATATCGAAGAGGTCAAACAACAAACGATGCGCTGATTGTTTACGATGTAATAATACCTGCATGTTTTCCTGTTTCAAGCACTAGTGGAATATGTTGTGCACTTGTAATTAACTGATAACGAGAATAATTAACTGTGACATGCACTGAATACAAATTTCTGTCTGTATCCTGTATTTAATTTACAAATATGTAAACTTAAGATAAAATGCCCGACGAAGTTACAAGTTTCGAATAAATAAATCTAATAAATAAATAAATTTACTAATTAATTACTTTTAACGTGGCTTTCAATCTTAAGCCCGCTTTCTATTTTAATTTTATTTGAGCTCTCTTTTATTCTAGCTAGGTCTGCAAAGAAATTCAAAATATTAGCAAGTTAAATAATTGTTCCGTATCTGGATATTTGTTCGTGTGCAATTTATGTTTGTAAACTGCCTACACGATACGGGAGAAAATGCTAGTGTGGTGATAACGTTTTCTTTTATAAAGATTTTAAAAGTTGGCTGTAAAAGATGGGTTTTACAGACCTTCACAAGTCCACTTCTGAACATAAGCCTCCCTCAATGTCACAAAACACGGTTCCTTGCCACCTGCATCCGTCGACTTCTTGCATGTTTAAAAGGTCGTGGTCTCCTCCGTATCTAGTGGTGGGCCACCCTACGCTTCGTTTACCGATACGGGGCTGCCACTAGAGAAACGTTCTTATTCGTGGTTGTTTCACCAAGCTATATGGCCAGCCTAAATCCATGTGGGTTTTTTTTTTCATAGTATTAGGGTAACAAACGAGCAAGCAGTCCACCTGGTGGTATGTGGATGCTCTGGCCCAAAGACATCCTCGATTAAGAATCAAAATTCAGATGATGTGTTGTCACCCTGAAAACTAAGATGGAATGCCTGGTTTCCAGTAAAAAGAGTCTCCGGATCTCTACACTCACTATAGAAAAAACCAGTATTTAGCTGCTATTCTGTGAAAGCGTGGTCCTGGTTGAGCCGACCCATTCGTGCTACAACCATAATAGAGCTGCAGTGTGGCTCTACCACGTGAGTACTGATCCGTTGGGTAAAGTAAATTAAATCGGTACAAAACCATTTACGAAGTGTTATATCCGTATTTTATTGCCAGTTATGAGTCATCGTTATTACGTTACTAAGATTTTTTGTTGTTGAACGCGATGTTCAAGTGCGTATTTGTCGATAAAACTTGTTTTTTGATTATTAGTAAGACGAGTTCTGTAATTTACAGTTTTCATAGTGATTATTATGTATTTAATGTGACAAATTTATTGTGACAACAATTACTCCGATAATTGTTCAGATTTTTCGAGTTTTTGTTGGTAGTAGATACTTATTTATAAGATATATTAAAACCAGGTTACTACGCATTGTCTATGTACAAATTTTATATGTAAAACGCCTATACTATATGGAAGGACATCCTACTCTGATAAAAATGACAGTGATATTAATCTTATAATAGTCACAGATCTACACTACATTGTATATTAAATAGATCAGCCCTGTGCTACCTGAAATTCTCATGCACTTTCATACTCTCCGTTTTAAATGGCGTTGTTTGCAGTCAAAATTGCGATCGGAATATCAGACGTCTGGCAGCTTCGTGGCGACGCAAAATGTCTGGTTAACTACAAAAAGTACAGGTTGTGTTTAGTTTAGAGTTTATATAACTGAACACAACGGCTACAAATTAAGATATGAATGAATATAGGAATTAATTAATAAAAAGTTAAATAGGTGTCTGGACGCCAGCCTCCTCTACCTGGGATTCCATGTCCAACCAGCAGTGCGGGCACTTCTGTGTTCCGATCTGAAGGGAGGGGATAAGAAGCCAGTAAATTACAGGCTAGTAGTACTATTACTAATTCTGTGCTTTGAGCACTGTTACCAGATTGGGGGATTTTTTCACAATTCTGGGGAAAAAATGACTCTTGGGGAATAACTGGGGAAATTTTTGGGGGGGGAAATACGTAATGGGAACTTCGGGTACGAGAATTTCGAAAAACGATAAAAAATAAAAAGTGCTATGAAACGAACGTACTTTTTGTTCAGCTAACATATCGTGGCTAAAATGCAAGAAGATGAGAGATATGAAGAAATCCAAATACGATTACCGAACAATACTAAATTATTAGAAAAAATGCCAGTTTTCTCGCCGCAAATCGCGACAAGCCAAGTAAGACCTAATATTAAAGAAATAGTTATTGCTTTCAAGAATTTGGTTGGAGGAACGGAAAACGTTGATGCGACGCTGCAAGAGTGCAGAATTTTACCTCTTCAGCTATGGCAAGAAACCAAAACAGCTGACGAGTATTGGGGAGAAGTGTTGTTATACAAAAATGTTTGTGGAGACGCAGCTTTTTTTAATTTAACGAAACTTGCCACCGCTATTTTGAGTTTGTCATTTACTAATGCGGTTGTAGAACGGGCGTTTTCGATGATGAACATCGGCAAAAATAAATTGCGAAAGAGATTGCTCACGAAAACCGCAGACCGTATGAGAGTGAGAAGTGCCATACAAGACCGTGGCGCGTCGGTTGCACAAAGTTTGAACCAAGCACTACAATGTTAACTTTATTTAAGTCTGAAATTGTCTATCAAGGAGGAGATGAAGACAATGTGAATGAAGTACTTGCTATTTTTAATGAAGATATGAAATGACGTACTTAGTTTTAGATTTTTTTATATATTTTTAATATATAAAAAAATTCTAAAACTAAGTACTTCATTAAATTTTTCTTCATCTCCTCCGTGATAGACATTAACAAATAAAATAGATTCTGTCTGTTTTAATTTCGTATTTTTAATGGTAACAAAACTGGTGGTTTTTTGGTTAAAAAATATCATTTTGGGGGAAAAATAAGAATCAATATGGGGGGGAAACCATAAAATTGCATCAGGTAACCCGACTTTGAGGTTTGAGGTATTCCATGTTAATCTAATG